TAGCACCATTCCCGTTCACACTCTACACAGCAGACTTTTAGTACAACTCAGAGTCCTGCTACATACAAAAATACTCTGATGATTCAGCTATTGTTGCTTGTATCAGGAGCTATCAGGAGCTGGAGTACAGTACCTTGTGGATGCCTTCAGGGACCGGTGCAGTAAGTGCTGTCTCCCCCTCAACACAGCAGAAACCAAGGAGATGGTGGTGGATTTCAGAAGGAAGAGGTCACCCCATCAACCAGTCTCCATACAGGGGGAGGACATTGAGGTGGTCCACACCTACAAATATCTGGGGGTCCTCTTGGATGATAAGCTGGACTAGTCCTCTAACACTGACGCCTTCTACAGGAAGGGGCAGAGCCGCCTGTTCTTCCTGCGGACACTGAGGTCCTTTGATGTGTGTGTGGAGATGTTTACCATATTCTATCACACGGTGGTGGCCAGTGCAGGCTGCAGTGTGCTGGGGAGGCAGCTTGATGGACGAAGACATCAAGCGTTTGGACAAGCTGGTTAAAAAAGCTGGCTCAGTGCTCGGCAGGAGATTGGACCCACTAAGAACTGTGGTGGAGAGGGGCACATTGAACAACCTGAAAGCTATAATGGACAATAGCAGACACCCTTTCCACAGCCTCCTGGAGCGACAGTTGAGTAGCTGTAGCAGGTGGTTCTTCTCACTGGAGCATTTCAGGAGATCCTTCATTCCCACCGCAATAAGACTTTTTAACACTTCCTGAATCCAGTCACACACATACACACATCACCTTAGCCACAACTGGACTGGACTGTGGAATGGGCAATGTTAATTTAATTTTTATTTTTATTTTCTATTTATGCACTTATTTTAATTTCTTTTATTTTATGTCTTTTTTAATACCACTGTGTTGTTGTTGATGAAGAGAATGGTAAATGGACCTGCATTTGTATAGCGCCTTTTTAGTCATCCGACAACTCAAAGCCCTTTTTACACTACGAGACATTCGCCATTCACACACACATTCATACACTGGTGGCCGAGGCTACCGTATAAGGTGACACCTGCTACTCAGTTTTTAAACACACTGATGGAAGCATCAATGGGAGCAATTTGGGGTTCAGTATCTTGCTCAAGGATACTTCGACATGCAGACTGGAGGAGCCGGGGATCGAACTGCTTACAACCCGCTCTACCTCTGGGCCACAGCCGCCCTGTGTGTGTGTTGTTGTTTTTCAAGCTGCTGGACAGTTGAATTTCCCTATGAATGATGAATTGAATTCTTTCTGTTCAATTCTGTTCTAAGAAGGAATTGCACCTGCATCGCAGGTTTGTATTATTTTGTGTTGTCGGCTCACTAGCTTGCATTGTTCAGAGTTGGATGATACAGTTGTTATGCAAACATGAATTCTGCTTTTGTTTGACTGTAACACAATAATTTCCATTGAGTCCTGAGTCCAGTGGTAGTCAACCCATTACAACAGCAATTAACAAGTTATTGTGTGTCAACTGAATGTGTTCATGGTTGCTAGTAACACAAATAGATTGTTGACATAGATAATAGACACAGATGAGTGTAAATATAAATATTATTACAATAAAACTGAAGGTTTTTACAGACACTTTCATGTTCTGTTTGTGATTAACAGCTGTTGGAGCTACAAGCAACCACAGTGCATTCGGCTGAAACACCAGTTAACACAGTCACTTGTTTAACCAAAACACTTGTTGCTCTGAAAACAGTCGTGACCCTTTGGAATTCTGTAGAATTTTTAGCACTGATTTCCACATTGAAGTGGTGTTCCTTGTTGTCTGGCAGAGTATCATGGCCTCAGACTTGGGAACGTCACAATCAGATGCATATTGGTAAGGTCAGCAGAATTATAGTCAGCAGACACAACAGCAATGTAATCCTGAGATCACCAGACTGGACACATTCCACTTGATGGCTGTGTCCATAAAAATCACAAACAGAACAGATGACAAGGGACCACCCTTGTGATGTGCCAGAGTTATTGCAGAGAACCGCTCTTATCCAGTTATATGCTAGGTGATTTGTGTCATCGACCCCAGCAACCCATGCCCTTGCCACAGGACACCCTGGGGGACACAGTCATAAGCCGTAAAGTCCACAAAATACATGTGCAACTGCATGGGCAAACTCCTGTGACCCCTGAGCCAACGCTCTATGACCAGGATAGGCATGTGTATTTCTCTCTCTGAACCAGATGCCCAGCAGTCAGCCTGGAGGGTCCCTGCAGAGGCTCATCAGTGTGATACCTGATTGTGAGCAGATTTTTCTACCCCCTGTTATGAAAATGGGAACCATCGCTCTTTCTGCCAGTCCTAAACAGGCCAAACAATTCCATGAGTCTTCTGCCTGACAGCTTTTTCCACTTCAGTTTGTCCACCGGTGGGTTTTAGTATATCCCCCACGACAGGTATGACTGGCACAAGAGATGAAAAAATAGAGGCAGCACACTGCACACTATGCTCCTATAGGCGTTTAAATTACCACTGAAATGGCATTTTGAGCTACACACTCTTCATCAGATTAGCACAACCTTCTGGCCACACAATGTAGGCTTTGAACAGGTACCAGATTCTATGGCCTCTAGTTTCCCGGCACGGCGCAGGGAGGCGAACCCCGCGCAGAGCTAGTTTCGAGCAGCGCAACCCGAGGCGCGCTCAGTTTGGTAGTTTGGCAGACCGAGGTGAGCTGAGATGGGTGTGGTGGCGCAGCAGGGGGAGGTGTCGACAGATCCAGCTTGGCGCAGTGACAGTTTCGTGCCAAAAGGCTTCGCCGAAGGTGCACGAAAAGCTCGCCAGCTGAAACCAGGTCTACTGTCAGCACAGGCGGAGAGCACCCGGTGTAATGAAAGTTTGGCTGACAGGTGGACAGTGCGCACATGTCACCAAAACCTCACAGACAGGTTTCCAGAATATCAGGCATATTAACAATGCAATAAATACCCACAAAAATCACTATGCAATGCAACTACCTGCAATCAGCACATAAATGTATCTCTATATCGACTGTCCCGTCACATCTGATGTCAGATCAAAGGGGATTGGCACCGTTTGGCACGTTTGGCACGTGTAATGGAAACCCATGGAGGTCTGCTCGCAGTTCCGTATATTCGGACACTGCGAGCTTGGACCTCCCCGGACCAAAACATCAGTTTCCTCCTGGGAGAAGTTTGACCGTCTGACGCTGCTGCTCTCTTCTGCCATGGCAAATTGAGTAAACTCTCATTACGCCTTCGCGCAGCGCATTTAAGGGCGAGGAGAGGGGCTCATTTGATTGGTGTGATGTGTGTAAAACCCACTCCACGCCTTCTCTCCTCCCTCTTTCCGACTTGTGCAGGTAGGAGGGACGGAGGTGGGAAAGAGGAGTAGCTGCGCCAGGCACACGGTGTGCCAAACTTGCAAAATCCGCCTGGCCACACCCAGTTGGTGCTGCTCGAAACTAGCTCTGCGAGGGGTTCGCCACCCTGCGCCACGCCACCCTGTGCCGGGAAACTAGAGCCCATGGTTGCAATCACCTATCTAAGGCCTAAAGTGCACCAGATAAATTTATCAACTACCTCATCTTGCATAAGACGTGGATAGCCTGTGACCAGGTCTGATGTCCAGATAGTTTATAGAGTATTTGTAACAATTCAACAGCGTATTAGCTGAGATTCAAAAATTCAAGTGTTTTGCTTTGTTTATATAGAGATTTATAAAGTATATGTGACAATTCACTACATATTCTCAGAGTAATTTTGTTGAACTTGAACTATTAACTCAACCTTGAGTGACCAGTTCAAGTTCAACTAAATTACTCTGAGAATATGTAGGTATGTTCATGAATTGTCACATATATGCCATATAATAATATATAAAAAATAAATAATATGTAAAAATATGCTTAAATGAGGCTGCTGTAATCAGGGAACCTGGTGGAATGCATGCCCGATGTAGCACCGCTGGCATATGCGCTGATACCCCAGGCTATGGGGGGCAGTAGCTCAGTCCATAGGGACTTGGGTTGGGAACCAGAGGGTCGCCTGCTGGAGTCCCCGTCCGGACCAAAAATGGAGCGTGGACTGGTGGCTGGAGAGGTGCCAGTTCACTTCCTGGGCACTGCCGAGGTGCCCTTGAGCAAGGCACTGAACCCCCCAACTGCTCGGGGCACCTGACCAAGGCAGCCGCCTCACTCTAACATCTCTCCACCTTGTGCATGTATAGGTCCTGTTTGTGCATGTGTGTGTCTATCGGACCTGTGTGTTAATGACAAAAAGAATGAGAAAAAAAATTGAATTTCCCCTCAGGGGGATTAATAAGGTATAAAAAAAAAAAAAAAAAAAAAAAAAAATCTTATTTCCAAGACAGACCTGAGTATATTGTAAACAGAGAATAACAGCAGTTTCTAGTACCATGCAAGAGATGTTTTTTCTCAGAGCAAGAAAAAAACAAAAAAGAAAAAAGGAACAAACAAACAAAAAAAACACCCAAAACACATACAATATTTGCAATTTTGTTACTTTATTTTTGACTGATGTAGCAATTCATACATTTTTGTTACACTTTTTGCTCCCCCTCACAGGCAATAAATAGAAACTGGTTTCTGTCCACAACCAGCCCTCACTTGGATAAAGAATTTAGCACAAGCGATGACAGAAAAAAAAAGTGCGGTAGAATTAGAGATAGAGAGGGTATGTTTGGGTGAGTCACAAACAAGTTATGCAGGAGAAAGTTCCTGGCACTGCTCCCGAAAAATCACATTATTTGGACGTGGGCAGAGAGGGCAGCCAGACATCATGAGAGCCACAGAGAGCTCTGTCATAAGTGATGAAAGCGATGGTGATTACCACAATGTGTGTGTCAGGGGAAAAGGGGTGTGAGTGGGTAGTGTACCTGTTCAGATGTGTGTGTGTGTGTCTGTGTGTGTTAGTTAGTAGGTCAGGGTGGTGCCCTTGGCCTTGTAAGGCAGGGTTATCTGGGGTTATATATTTGATCCCTGCCTTCCCTGCAGGTCTAGCAGCTGCCTCCTCTTCACCTGGCCTCTGTAAGTCTGCACAACTGGTTGTATTTTGTTTTCATGCTGTATTTCTCTGTTGTCTAAACTAAAGGTAAATTGATTTAATATGATCTGACTAACAAAATAGAGATGATGAATAGGTGCTTTTTTTTCTTAAATTTGAAGCATAGCTAACACATTTCACAAGACGTATGCCAGAAAATGTCTTTATCGGATATACTTCTAAACATTTGAACTAATGCTCCAAAATACTGACAAGACAGGAGACATGTTATTTCTACAAATAGTGATGTAAGTAAGCTGCTGTATTTCAGATGTTTAAAATAGCCTTAAAATATCCTACTTATTGTTTTCTCTGCCCACTTCAGGTCACTGACATACTCTGAAGTCTGAACTCACTTGTCATCTGAGTTGAATCCACTGGTAAACTTTCCTTTCCTAATGCTTTCATAACAATTTATACTATAAACGTTAAGACTGATATAATATGACTATGTTCTCTTGTGGAAAACAGACAGAATAGCTTAAATTCAAATACAGACGGCAAAGAAAAAAAAGCCTTGAAACCAACAGTTGAAAAATAAGATACAGACAGAGTGAACCCTTTATCATCTCTACTAACTGTGTGTACAGCAGTGCAGCCATGGGGGATGCAGAGATGGCTGTGTTTGGGCTGGCTGCCTCTTACCTGAGGAAGTCAGACAGGGAGCGTATGGAGGCATCCACACGTCCCTTCGACATAAAGAAGGAATGCTTTGTCCCGGATCAAGTGGAAGAGTTTGTGAAGGCAACCATCACCAGCCGAGATGGAGACAAGGTCACTGTGGAGACACAGTATGGGAAGGTCAGTGGTTGCATTTTACCATTTAGATCATATTATTAACACTACATACACTTTTCTTGTTGCAGTAATAAAATTACTATCAACCTAAAGCCTAACATGTCATCATGTATCTAAGTCTAAGCACATTGCTGAAATACTGCAATTGTAATAATCTTAATCTTGTAAACTGGTAGAGATGAAAGTTATGTGTGACTCTCAAAAAGCTGTGTGAATTAATAATTTCACATTGAAAAGGCAACAACTTGACATTAAGCACATGTTTTGTTTCTCCAGTTAAGTGTATGATGAAATGAGGCATTGCTGCCATCTGGCATTCACACTGTGTGGCACAGTCTGTAATATCACACACGCAGTGTTGACAATAATAGGGTTATCAAAAACAGCAACAGCAACTGTTTGAACGTTTGGCTTACTTACTAATTAAAATAACATTTTTGGGTGAAATGTATTTGACCATTGAATAGTAATCAGAAAACTGCATTCATTTTCTTAGACTGTGGTGGTCAAAGATTCCCAGATTTTGCAACAGAATCCTCCAAAGTTTGACAAGATCGAGGACATGGCCATGTTGACCTTCCTCCATGAGCCCGCTGTGCTGTTTAACCTCAAAGAGCGTTACGCAGCATGGATGATCTATGTGAGTAGTCTACAATCCAATAAACAAAATCTTTCAATAAGTGTTTTGATAAAAAAGCATTTACACTCATAGTAAATGTGTGTGGAGTTAATTTTGCACCTACTACTCAAGATGTGAACAAAAAGAAAATAACAAGTACAGTAATACTAAATGAGAGAATAATGTGTCTAAAACATGAAAACATCAATATATCAAAACATATCAAATCATTCATTTACACAAGAAAAACTGTGGGCGGTTAAAACGGTTAATATTAAAACAGTGATACTGTCTTCCATTTCACAGACCTATTCTGGGCTCTTCTGTGTGACTGTCAACCCCTACAAGTGGCTGCCAGTCTACAACCAAGAGGTGGTTGTTGCCTACAGAGGAAAGAAGAGGAGTGAAGCTCCTCCTCATATCTTCTCCATCTCTGACAATGCCTACCAGTACATGCTGGCAGGTAAAAAGAACATTAGATGATGTCACCATGTCTCGTACATGTAACTTTTGTTCCACATAATTATAATGAATCTTGATACCTACAAAATTGTCCTCTCTGGAAACTTGTTTTTTGTAGACCGTGAAAACCAGTCAATTTTGATCACGTATGTAATGTCTTACACTTCAAAACATAAATGACACTGTATGCTCTGGAATAAAATCTTATTCTATATTATGTCACTGTAGGTATTGATCATTGACTTTACTATTACAGTGGAGAATCTGGTGCAGGAAAGACTGTCAACACAAAGAGAGTCATCCAGTATTTTGCAAGTATTGCAGCTGGAGGCATAAAGAAAGACACCGTTGCCAAGGACAAGGTAAATAACAAGCTCTGTCAAATGTGTGAGTTCTCAGAGGTCTGGTGCATCTCTAACAGGCTACAACTACAGATAACACAACAAAAAAAGAGTGTAACTATCAACTCTTATCCCCTGTAACTACAAAGGAATAGATTTGCCTTATATGCTCAATTAAATTCCTGGTATTAAGTAACACCGACAGTAATCTTTGTGCACTGGTCCCAAATCAAACTCCTGTCATGATTTCCACCTTCAATAGCTACTGTGGTCGATAATTTGTAGGTTCTGTTCCTCAAACGTTCACAAACTGACACCAGAGGCTGCTAAAGTCTCTTTGTGTATCTCTAAACATTAATCACAGATTGAGCATAAACAATGTTCCTCTTTCACAGGGTACCCTGGAGGATCAAATCATTCAGGCTAACCCTGCTCTGGAGGCCTTTGGGAATGCAAAGACTATCAGGAATGACAACTCCTCCAGATTTGTGAGTGTTGAATCTTTGTTTGACTTAATTGTGAAAAATATGTAATCAAGTTCCCATGCAAACACAATCAGTGGTGGTAGCAGATATCAAGGTGTTCTTAAATAAACAAACTTAATTCTTTCAGGGTAAATTCATCCGAATTCATTTTGATACCAGGGGGAAGTTAGCCTCTGCTGATATTGAAACATGTAAGAACAAACACCCTTTTACACTAATACTGGGAATATTATTTTATTTACATGTTTTAACATAGTAATATAGTTCATACTACACATACTTACACACAAAGTAATTTCTCTCTTGTATTTTTCACATGTCAGACCTTCTGGAGAAATCTCGTGTGATCTTCCAGCTCAAGGCTGAGAGAGATTACCACATTTTCTACCAGATTTTGTCCAACAAGAAGCCTGAACTCCTGGGTGAGTACAAGGCTGTGGTGGCTGCCCCCCCCCCCCCAACTTTCTCACTCTCTCTCTCACACACACACACACACACACACACAACACACACAAGACAAAAAAAAAGACATGGCTGTCACTGATATTTTATTTCAGTTGTGTGTCCATCCATCTGACCTTGTCCCACTCTCTCTCTGTGTCCTCCAGAGATGCTGTTGATCACAAATAATCCCTACGACTACGCCTTCATCTCTCAGGGGGAAACCCAAGTGGCCTCCATCAATGATTCAGAGGAACTGATGGCAACAGATGTCAGGCTCTCACTCATTCCTCTTTTTTACAAGACATTAAACTTTAATCATAATGACGAAATTAGTTACACTGGATTCATACGAAAAGCAACCCCGTGTTAAAACAATCCTGTATTAGAACAACGCAGGGGGCCATGTTGGTTTAGGTACTGATGAGAGAATGAAATACATCCAGGAAGTCTAGTTGGAGTAACAGATTAATGTATCTAAAGACTTATCAGATGCCAAAACAACATCACAACAGTTTATCATACCCAGAGACAGGATTCTACAACTTAGTTATCACAGCAGCAACTAGCAGCTTTTTTTTTAGTCCTGCGTCAAATGTCTTTGTTAGTTTTTATCATATTTAGTCAACCTCATCCTGTTTTGTTTTTTTGTCAATTTTTTGTTGACTAAAAGGTTCAGTGTGTAGGATTTAGGGGGATATATTGGCAGAAATGGAATATTATATAGTATTGTATAATAAGTATGTTTTCTCTAGTGTTCGTTACCTTATAATGTGCTGTTTATATTTTCATAGGTCATCTATGAAGATTACCATGTTGCACTGGTGTATTTCTACAGAAGCCAAGAATGGACAAACTAAACACCAGCTCTAGACAGGATCATTTTGCATTTTTGTTTTTTTATATTTACGTGTCTGCCACCATTTTCAGAAGCCCGTCTGTAGCAAGCGGGATTAAGACCGATTTGTAATGTAAAACTGATATTTTTTAGTATTTGTAATGCTTAAAATCACCTAGTCTGTGAACATCTTGATCATAAGTTATCAGAGAGAAAAAAGGTGAGCACACATTACCATGTGGTTGGTTAGCCACCTGTCTTCAACATGCAAAACAGCATCAGAGAAACGCTGATTTGTAATGTTAAACTGCTTTATTCAGTGTTTTCATGGTTTAAATCACTGGGTCCATTTGTTATGGAGAGGAGGAGACCTCGGAACCTCCTGTACAATGAACACTGAAGGAATCCTAACCAGGAGAAGTTTCAGCTGGTTGCAATCTGCAATCCTTACTGCTGGACACCACCAAATCCTCCTAAATCTTACACACTTCACCTTTAAAGTCCGGGCATTTGCATCTTATCTTAGTCAAAGAAAACCGTAACTAGTTTAGCATAGTTTTTTGTATAATTTTGATTAAAGCCATCTTCCCTACCCAAATGCTGACAAGTTACCACATGCTCCTCGACAGGATGCCTTTGATGTATTGGGCTTTACGCAAGAGGAAAAGAACTCTGCGTACAAGTTGACTGGTGCCATCATGCATCATGGCAACATGAAGTTCAAGCAGAAGCAGCGAGAGGAGCAGGCTGAGGCTGTTGGCACTGAAGGTGAGAGACCGTGGTTTGTCAGGTTGGCTCAGAACCAATCAGAAGAGACACTTACAGTTACAGTACTTATGCAGTTTTACAACATTCACTCTTCTTCTTCAGATGCTGACAAAGTTGCATATCTGATGGGCCTGAACTCTGCTGACCTCATCAAAGGTCTCTTGCACCCAAGAGTCAAAGTGGGAAATGAGTGGGTCACCAAGGGACAAAATGTTGCTCAAGTAAGAAGCAAAAAAGTCAATGTAACTCTTTCTTATACACAAAGGTTCTTTACCAAGGGTCACATTATGTTTCATATATGGCTACTGCTACAAAAGCTGAAAGGTTGCTTAAAAAAAAATCACAAAAAAATAAAGAAACATTTCACTGCTTGGTATTACATAAATTGTCTGTTCCCCAGGTGACCTATGCTGTTGGAGCTCTGTCCAAGGCTGTATATGAAAGGATGTTTCTGTGGATGGTGATGAGAATCAACCAGTCACTGGAGACCAGGCAGCCTCGCCAGTACTTCATTGGTGTTTTGGACATTGCTGGATTTGAGATTTTTGATGTAAGTTGTCCTGTAAGCCCACAGTAAACCAGCTCCCTTTTAACAGAAACTGGATGGATAAGCCTATTTTTTTTCTATTTGCAGTTCAACACCTTTGAGCAGCTGTGCATCAACTTCACCAATGAAAAACTGCAACAGTTTTTCAACCACCACATGTTTGTGCTGGAGCAGGAAGAGTACAAGAAAGAGGGCATTGAATGGACTTTCATAGATTTTGGGATGGACTTGCAGGCCTGCATTGACCTGATTGAAAAGGTGAGATACTGGACTATTACATGTCCAGACAAACATAAAGATTGACTGAAAGTATTGTGATTTTTTTTTTCAAACCACTCATATTTTTGTCCCCTCAGCCCATGGGTATCATGTCCATCCTTGAAGAGGAGTGCATGTTCCCCAAAGCTTCTGATACCACCTTTAAAGCTAAGCTCTATGACAACCATCTGGGGAAATCTGCCAATTTCCAGAAGCCCAGAATTGTCAAAGGGAAAACAGAGGCCCATTTTGCCCTGATCCACTATGCTGGAATTGTTGATTATAATATCAACAACTGGCTGGTGAAGAACAAGGATCCTCTGAATGAGACCGTTGTTGGGCTCTACCAGAAGTCTAATCTCAAGCTGTTAGCTACCCTCTTTGCAAACTACGCTGGAGCCGATTCAGGTACCCTGCAATGAATTTCTTGTTTGGAAATAACAATGTTTTTTTGTCTAGCTATGATGTTACACTTTAAGATTGTATTTCTGAACAGTTGCGGCCGAAGTTACTGAAGGCAAAAAAGAGAAGAAGAAGAAGGGATCATCGTTTCAGACTGTGTCTGCTCTTCATAGGGTATTGTGTATTATTGTTTATATGGTATTTTGTATGATGCCGATTAATTCAACAGCCAACAATTACAAATGTATGCCTCATCATATTAATAGGAGAACCTGAACAAGTTAATGACCAACTTAAGGTCAACTCACCCTCACTTTGTGCGCTGCATCATCCCCAATGAGACCAAGACTCCTGGGGCCATGGAGAACCCTCTGGTGATGCACCAGCTACGCTGTAACGGTGTGCTGGAAGGCATCAGGATCTGCAGAAAGGGCTTCCCCAACAGGATCCTCTACGGAGATTTCAAACAGAGGTATTATCTAATCTAAATAACATACTTTATGCTTCAAAACAGAAGTTCAATATTGTTCTCCAACATGTATATATATATTTTTCTTTTCCAGATATCGCATCTTGAATCCTGCTGCCATCCCTGAGGGTCAGTTCATCGACAGCAGGAAGGGAGCTGAGAAACTTCTTGGGTCTCTGGACATTGATCATAATCAGTACAAGTTTGGACATACAAAGGTATCATCTGAAGTTGTTGTGATACTGTAAAAGGGAAACATTCTGGTAGGAGACGAAGAAGATGGCAAAAAAGTAAAATACCCATTGGTGTTGTCAGGTGTTCTTTAAGGCTGGTTTGCTGGGTCTGCTTGAGGAGATGAGAGACGAGCGTCTCTCCAAAATCATCACTGCTATTCAAGCCAGGTCCCGTGGGCTTTTGTCTCGTATTGAGTATCAAAAGATGGTGGAACGCAGGTATCTTTTGTGCCCAGCTGATATTGTTGCTGAAGATTCAAAAATGATTGGTTTGTGATTTGTACAGTTAACTAAAGCCTTCCATTTTATTTAAAAAATTATTTAGAGAAGCATTATTAGTGATCCAATGGAATGTCCGGTCATTCATGGGGGTCAAGAATTGGCCCTGGATGAAGCTGTTCTTCAAGATCAAACCTCTGTTGAGATCTGCTGAGGCAGAAAAGGAGATGGCCACCATGAAGGAAGAATTCCTGAAGCTGAAAGAGGCTTACGCAAAATCTGAAGCCCGTAGAAAGGAACTAGAGGAGAAAATGGTCTCTCTTCTTCAGGAGAAGAACGACCTGCAGCTTCAAGTTCAAGCGGTGAGAATGTCACTATACTGACAATTTCCTCTGGACATGTCTTTAAGCAATGTGTTAATGGCATCAAATGTTTGGCAGGAGCAAGATAATCTCTGTGATGCTGAGGAAAGATGTGAGGGGCTGATCAAAAACAAAATTCAACTGGAGGCAAAAGCCAAAGAGCTTACTGAGAGACTGGAGGATGAGGAGGAGATGAATGCTGAACTGACTGCTAAGAAGAGGAAGCTGGAGGATGAGTGCTCTGAGCTGAAGAAAGACATTGATGACTTAGAGTTAACTCTGGCTAAAGTGGAGAAAGAGAAGCACGCTACTGAGAACAAGGTATGACATCTAACTTAACTATTTGTTTCACATCAGGAACTTAATCAGGCACTCAGTATCTTATCTTTTCTTGGTTGACAGGTGAAAAACCTGGTTGAAGAGATGTCAGCTCAGGATGAAATCATTGCTAAGTTGACAAAGGAAAAGAAAGCCTTACAGGAAGCTCATCAGCAAACACTGGATGACCTGCAGAGTGAAGAAGACAAAGTCAACACCCTGACAAAGGCCAAGGTTAAGCTGGAGCAGCAAGTGGATGATGTAAGAACCCATATCAAAATTGTACTGCTTAGATGACATTGTAAGTATTAATAATTAAACAATTCACAAATGTATTTGCATTAAGCTTGAAGGTTCTCTTGAGCAAGAAAAGAAGGTTCGAATGGACCTTGAGAGAGCTAAGAGAAAGCTGGAGGGAGACTTAAAGTTGACCCTGGAGACCGTAATGGATTTAGAAAATGACAAGCAACAGCTGGAGGAGCGCCTGAAAAAGTACAAATTCAGCATGAAACTGCTCATTCAGTATGGTCATGTAATATTGTGTACACAGCTTTAATTAGCTAACACTGTTTAAACAAAATTCTGCAGGAAAGACTTTGAGATCAGCCAACTAAATGGCAGACTTGAGGATGAGCAGTCCATTATCATTCAACTCCAGAAGAAGCTGAAAGAGCTACAGGTACAGATGTGTACTAGTGGGTCTAATTAGATGTTAACATATTCCCAAAGTATTGCTATATTTAAACATTTTCTTCTGGCACTAGGCTCGTGTAGAGGAGCTGGAGGAAGAGCTTGAGGCAGAGCGAGCTGCCCGAGCCAAGGTGGAGAAGCAGAGAGCAGACTTGTCCAGAGAGCTGGAGGACATCAGTGAGAGGTTGGAGGAGGCTGGTGGAGCAACATCTGCCCAGATTGAGATGAACAAGAAGAGGGAGGCTGAGTTCCAGAAACTCCGCAGAGACCTTGAAGAGGCCACTCTGCAGCATGAAGCCACTGCTGCCACTCTCAGGAAGAAACAAGCTGACAGTGTTGCTGATCTGGGAGAGCAGATCGACAACCTGCAGAGAGTCAAGCAGAAACTGGAGAAGGAGAAGAGTGAGCTCAGACTGGAGCTGGATGATGTGGTTTCCAGTATGGAACAAATAGTTAAATCTAAGGTATGTGCACATGAAGATGCTCTAGGTAAATTTCCACACGGGCTGAACTGGCAACTTGGTTGTTAACTGAATTGTAACAGTTCAATACCTAGAGGAGATGCAACATTAGTAAACAGTGAACATGTACACCTTCAACTTTAATTTGATGTTGTTATAGGCCAGGTGGGTGAGACAATCTAAATTTAATATAAAATATTCTGTCCCTCCAAGATGGAACTGGGAGTTCAATGTAGTAAATAAATGTCTGGATATGTCTAATGCTGACAATTATTTAACAGTGCTTGTGAACAATGGTGTATTTCTTTTGAAGACTATCTTAGAGAAGACCTGCAGAACTTTGGAGGATCAAATGAATGAATACAGGAACAGGTGTGATGAAAATCAGAGATCCCTTCATGACTTCACCACCCAGAAAGCCAAGCTTCAAGCTGAGAATGGTCAGCATTACTCTTTTCACCTGAATAATAAAATTGTTTAATGTAGAACACTGCAACTCTAAAACTAAATGCTGCCCATCTAGATGAACTTTCAAGACAGCTGGAGGAAAAAGAGTCTCTGATTTCTCAGCTGACCAGAGGAAAAAACTCCTATACTCAACAAGTTGAAGACCTAAAAAGACAACTAGAGGAGGAAGTAAAGGTATGAAAATGGGAAAATTAGTTAAATTATCTTTAAGTTGCAAATACAGTTGCATGTCAAAGAGAAATACCTGCATTATCAATATTCATCCAGGCCAAGAATGCTTTAGCCCATGCAGTGCAGTCTGCTCGTCATGACTGTGACCTGCTCAGGGAGCAGTATGAGGAGGAGCAGGAGGCCAAGGCTGAGTTGCAGCGTGGCATGTCCAAGGCCAACTCTGAGGTGGCTCAGTGGAGAACTAAGTACGAAACTGATGCCATCCAGAGGACCGAGGAACTGGAGGAGGCCAAGTAAGTCCTGTACATGCAAGAACATCAACCTTAATATGACATAAGACAGACTTTGAGAGAAGAACACTTAAAATTATGTTTTCTTATTCAACCTGGCATGTTTGCCATGAATGTAGTAGGGGGTTGCTAAAACTGCCCCAAAATAAAAAGAACATTTAAGCATCAGTGAATAATACTGGTTTTGTTTTTTAGAAAGAAGTTGGCTCAGCGTCTGCAGGAGGCCGAGGAGGCTGTTGAAGCAGGAAATGCTAAATGTTCCTCTCTGGAGAAGACCAAACACAGACTGCAGAATGAGATTGAAGATCTTATGATTGATGTGGAGAGGTCTAATGCTGCTGCTGCTGTTCTGGACAAGAAACAAAGAAACTTTGACAAAGTATATCAGCATGTTCTAATAGCCAGAAACCTGGGGTTTCAAAGTATTGTTACAGTGCAACTTGCCCCTTTAAATAATTATCATTTGCCAAAATGTTGAGAGCTCGATGTGGTGAGTTTAACTTGAAATCATGCAACTTGTATCTCAATGTCTAGATCCTGTCTGAGTGGAAACAAAAATATGAGGAGTGTCAGTGTGAGCTGGAGAGCTCTCAGAAGGAAGCCAGGTCTCTGAGCACTGAGCTCTTCAAACTGAAGAACTCCTATGAAGAATCTCTTGACCACCTGGAGACCCTGAAGAGAGAGAATAAGAATCTGCAGGGTAACATATTACTGAATTTGTCTAAACAGGCAATACATGCACATTGCAGGTGCCTAAAAAGCCAACTTAATACAACTACTTTCATTCACAGAGGAGATATCTGACCTCACTGAGCAACTTGGTGAAGGAGGAAAAACCATTCATGAGTTGGAGAAAGTCCGTAAACAGCTGGAGCAGGAAAAGAGCGAGATTCAGTCTGCCCTTGAGGAAGCCGAGGTAAGACCAAAATCTCAAATCCTCAGTGTCTCACGTACTTACATTTATAGTTTCAAAATGAAGCCATAATTTGGAGAATAGTAAGTAATACATATGTTTAAAAAATATCCTGATGTCTATCTTAGGCTTCTCTTGAGCATGAGGAAGGCAAGATTCTCAGAGCTCAGCTTGAGTTCAACCAGATTAAGGCAGAAATGGAGCGTAAACTAGCAGAGAAGGATGAGGAGATGGAGCAGAACAAGAGGAACCTGCAGAGGATGATTGAAAACCTGCAGAGCTCTCTTGAGGCTGAGACTCGCAGCAGGAATGAGGCCCTCCGTTTGAAGAAGAAGATGGAGGGAGACCTCAATGAGATGGAGATTCAGTTGAGCCAGGCCAACAGGCAGGCAGCTGAGGCTCAGAAACAACTTAAGGCTGTTCATGCACACCTGAAGGTAAAAAAGAGGACACATCTTTCATTGTAATTCGCATAATTACTCTGGCATCTTTGTAACCGGAGCCTTTGAACATTTTCCAGGATGCTCAGCTCCAGCTTGATGACTCTCTTCGAACCAATGATGATCTCAAAGAGAACATTGCAATTGTGGAGAGACGCAACAACCTGCTTCAGGCTGAACTGGAGGAGCTCAGGGCTGCTTTGGAGCAAACTGAGAGAAGTCGCAAACTTGCTGAGCAAGAGCTGCTGGATGTTACTGAAAGGGTGCAGTTACTGCACTCACAGGTATGGTAGATGCTAGATTTAGAATTTTTTTATTTTTAAAATGTTGCTTTTTCGTACATTGTATAATGAAATTGCCTCATGTGTATAATAAAAGAACACCAGCCTGATAAATCAAAAGAAGAAGCTGGAGGCTGACACATCCCAGCTTCAGATTGAAGTAGAGGAAGCAGTACAAGAGTGCAGAAATGCTGAGGAAAAGGCCAAGAAGGCCATTACTGATGCTGCCATGATGGCAGAGGAGCTGAAGAAAGAGCAGGACACCAGTGCTCACCTGGAGCGTATGAAGAAGAACATGGAGCAAACCATCAAAGACCTGCAGCACCGTCTGGATGAAGCTGAACAGATCGCCATGAAGGGAGGAAGGAAGCAGTTGCAGAAGCTCGAGGCCAGGGTGAGGTTTTTTTTTTTTTTTTTACATATATGATTTGGGTAATTTGTGGTCAGCAGTGATGTTGAAGTAGTTATTCAGAGAGTAATCTGAAATATTGTCCTTGACCAGGTGAAGGAACTGGAAAATGAGGTTGAGATGGAGCAGAAGAAAAACGCTGAAGCTGTGAAGGGCATCCGTAAATATGAACGCCGTATCAAGGAGCTTACTTATCAGGTTTGAAGCAAGTAGCAAGCTTTATTATTCTGCATATGTGGTTTAAGTTCTTTTAAAAGAAATTACCTCAACCTTGTGTGTCATTTCAACAGACTGAGGAGGACCGCAAGAATATTGCCCGACTTCAAGATCTGGTTGATAAGCTGCAGCTGAAAGTGAAATCCTACAAGAGATCTGCTGAGGAGGCTGTAAGTGGAAATGTGTGAAGGAAGGTCTCCATCTGGCTCCTTCCCCTGTCAGTGTGTAACCATATTTCTTTTATTTACCCTAAACAGGAGGAACAGGCTAATGTGCATCTTGGCAAGTTCCGTAAGATGCAGCACGAGTTGGATGAGGCTGAAGAGAGAGCTGACATCGCTGAGTCACAGGTCAACAAGCTGCGTGCCAAGAGCCGTGATGCTGGCCCCAAGGTTTGAAGCATGCACTTTGTCGCAGGTGCTTAGGATCTGACCCTGACACATGCTGCCCTCTGTTGGCTGCATTTAACATGTTGCTCAGCTCCTCAAGTATTTGTACAAATATATGTATTAGGTATATTGCAGTGCTTCAGTTTAAATTAGTCTGTTAATGAATACACAGCTTTGTGGCAATCAAGCAATACTAATCTCAAGACACTAACAGCTGTTTCTCTTCTTCTTTCTTTCCCAATTCCCTGGCTGTAACAGAAGGGGTTTGAGGAGGAGTGAAGCTTTGGAGCCTGCAGAAATCCCCTTGCCTGCTGTGTAACGTAGATGTACAATGAAGTATTATGCCCACATTAAGGAGGAAAAAAAATTGCAATTTTGAGAATAAAGTTGTGATAATTTGAGGAAAAAAAAACATAATGTTGCAATGATAAAGTCATTATTTCATTAGAATGAAGTCACAATATTTCAAGAAAAAATCATAATATTATGAGACTAAAATCATAATCTCACATGCAGCAACTCAAGATTTTAATACCCTTTCATAGTAAACAGATGATAGAGGTTTATCTTTATTGTGTCAAATGAGGTACAGGTCTCACCAGTAAGTAACCTTTCTCATTATCAGAGAAAATGATAGCAGTTACATGATGTATGAGTCAAAAAGCAGATGTGTATTGAAGCAGCAGCTGGTGTACAGCAGGGACTTAACAGCTGAGACAAGAGCTCAGTCATTGATTAGAATGTGATAAAAGGTCAGTGGGCTTTATGCAAATGATGTGAAAGGCAGAGTAGCAAATGTGCGCTGCTCTTTATTAGAGTTTTAAAAAATGAAACTTTGGAGGAAAGCAGTTGAAATGCTAAATCCTGTAGATATGACTTGATGTAACCTATTCTCACTTTATTCTTAAAATATTATGACTTTTTCCTCAAAAATTGCAACTTTTTTCTCAGTTGTCATCTCTGATTTTTTTTTCTAACAGTGGCCATAATACTCCATTATATAGATCTCCTAAACTACTATTCATAAACTGTAGTGCTTAATAAAATCTTATCAAGCTACTGCACAACATTGTATTCTTCTATTTTAAAGGAATGAGTGGGTTCATGGAACATTGTACAGAAAAATCAGCCATCAGGCGAAGTGAATAACATTAATCATTTTGTTACAACATCCATACTGCCATCAGGGTATGGGTTGCTATTTGAGGGTGTACTTAGTCTGTAACTCTGTAAGCACGTCAAGTGGCATCCACATTACAGCCAGGACCAAAGGTTTCCAGCAGAACATTGCACTGCAACAAGATGAATGAATGTTATTCACTTCATCTGTCAGTGGTCTTACTGTTTGGTGTATATGTGCATGTGTGTAGATTTATGTATTCAACCCCATTTTACACACATATATATAGTGATAAAACTTAGGTTACTAATTTAATTCTCACCATCAATTATTGGAAACTAAACAGGACTGTAAATGCCATTACCTTCCAGAGTTAGGCCTAGGCAGGAAAACTGTGGACTAATAAAGTGTGGTGGCACAGGGCCTAAAAAGTAGGAAGTTATGAAGAGGTGACTACTAAAATAGAAAGAGATAAAACAAAGCCCTTTTTCTTAAAATAGAGTTAAAGAAAGCCCAAGAGCCTGGGCCTCAAGGTCATACTCAGGCCTACCATAATACCATGCATAATCACTTGCAGCTGCTCAGCAAATACCTGTCCAAGCCTGTCTGCTCCTCCAAAGGGCTAGGGAGGATTCCGAAAAATCAGTAATTAAATATCCAGTTCATATACTACAATAAATCAAGAGAAAACAACAAATTACTATAAATTATAATTATCAATTTTGTTTTATACCTTGAACTAAGAATGTGATCCTTACCTGTGTGTCTAGAGGTCTGCATTGGTGCTGATGTCAGCTCTAAGTAATTGTAACTGCTGCTGGAGACTAAATAATGATTTAAGGCAGGAGAAGGGAGGAGAGGGAGGCCCCAGACTCCCATTGTGTGAAATTCAGGGAGTCCTGCCTCTTCTATTATTACATGTCATGTCCTCAACTCCCTGAGCGGACAAGCAGGTATCTATTAGCTAATGAAAGCACATTCACACCTTTGCTTAAAGAGGTGCAACACATACAGCACAGTATGTGTTGGGGATTATCAGCATGATTAACAGGATATCTCAGCACATACTTGAATGAATAAAAGGACTGACCAAAGATGGAACCATTCACTGCCTCTATAATTAGACCATATTTAACATGGTATATGATGCTTATGGTCTTATCTCAAGAGTTAAAAGCAGTCACCTTTGACACTGTCATATCGTGTATACAAAAAATGTTTGCCACTACCACTGACTGGTCTAACACAATGGCACAAAGCCAGTTTATAAAATATTTTACTCACATAGGTTTGACCTAGGTCTCTCCGGTGGAAATTCCTCCACGACACAGAGGGCCATTTGCTTCTCCAGTAGCAGCAGCATAAACATCAGTGGTTGTTTAGAAAAAAAAAATTACTAACCATGAGCAGGATTAATAAGCATGGTTGAACCAAAGACACTCAAACCTCATTCACCGAAAATCCAGGTAGAATAATGTAACCCCTCAAGGTCATATTTGTTGCAGAAGTACCACCTCATGGTGCCAAAGATGAGAAGAAAAGGTTAAATTGGGAAAAATGTACAACTAAATACTGAAATGGGATCCAACAGAATATCTACTTATAAAGACTATGTACAGAATTATTCAGTAGTAATGATGAATAAAACCATAAAAACCTCCTTTAAACCCTCAGTTGTACTGACAGGATTTGATGTCCATAGAAACTAAGACACAGCATCATCAACCTAGTGACTAAAACAATAATAAAGTACATAGCAATCAAATAGTTACAAAGGAACTGTAAAATTAGAACCAAGATTTTTCGGTAAAATTTAGTTTGAAAGAAAAAGAAAAAGAAAACTACCTTAGAGACTCTAAGAGGTTGATATAATGTGGTGTCTATTGTCGAGGTGTCCTCTGGGACCAAAGCCCAGAAACATGTGGCTCAAAGCTCCATCTGATTATCCTTTCCCTGCTTCTATTTAATTAAATACATGTGATGACAATGTTTATTTGTTGTGACATAAACAAAGCATCTGAATCATGTTTCCTTTAATGAATAGAAGTTTGCCCCATAAGGTCAGTATGATCTTCACTTGGTCTTTAGCAGGGGCCTGGAATCTCTCACTTACATTTGCCACCCTGACGCCAGCTGTCAGTAACAGGGCTGGGAAACTATCAGAATGGAAATAATCTCAGCACTTGTCACCAGCTGTTGACCCTCCTTTTATCTCTTAACCTCTGAAGGGGCTGTGATTACTGGTGCTAGTGACTGGCTGTGGATAGTTGCTATACATAATTACAATGTATGTTGTATAACTTCTATGAGTTAGAAATTATTAGGTGTTGTTAAATAGTGGGTTAGGTCAAAAACAGGCGATGAACAGCACCCAAGGGTGAGCAGTTTTTATTTTTGGACAAACGCATTTTTAACAAAGTAGATTTCACAGATACCAGAATGATGAGTGGAATTAAAACCTGTTATAAATGTGATGCAGCTCATCTTAGACTCCACACTGGAGTGGCATTTAAATGGCACATTAAAAGTTGATGGGCAGTGGGCTTTACCTGTCAATCACAGTATATTCATGCAGTGTGAGGCATCTCATCTGCTACAACTGATCCTAGTTGCAGGCAAGAGCAGGATCCTGAAAGCCTTTGTGGCTGTTCTCCTCATCAGTGCTGTGTGCTTAACAGGAATTTCACACAGTTATCTTTGTCCTCAAAGACACAATGCCGTGTCAACGGGATTGTAACCAAGGGGCCAGCTTTTGTGAGCTGCTGACTGATAATGGGAGAAGGCTTCCACAGTGACCTTGGCATTGCATTGTAGCATATCACACTGGCATAGTCCTCCATTGTGTGTCATCATTACTGCCTTTCAGTGAATCTCAAGCATGTCACCTGTGGCAGACGTCAGTCTGTGTTGCCTCGCACTTGTCGCCTGGTTAATCTCATGGACTAATGTTCTTTATTTAGACCTACCCATTTGGTACTGCAAAGTCCATTCTATGATAACTGAACACAATATGTTACCAATGCCTCACAGCGACTCCACTTAAGCCTTCTGGGTAAATGAGACCCATACATGACATACTTCTCTAGAATATCTCCCCAGATATTTTCTGCGTCTTCCTTTGTGTTTAGCCAACAACACCAGTAGTTAACATTTATAGAATGCTCTGTGTTATTGTAAAGCGCGCAAAGAATGTGAACCACCCTTTTGATTTTTGTTTCTGGTCCAAGACACATTGATAATGTTTACTTATTTCTTTCTCAATCTCCAACTTATTTCACAGTTTATCTTTTGTTAATGCAAAACTATATAAAATTAGAATGTAATGTGATGACTTCTAAAATATTTCTGCAGTTATGCAAAAAAAGAACAAACAAACAAAAGAACAAAACAATACAAAACATTATACATAACTTCAGCTATTTTCACTCTGGATTTCAGCGATAAGCATTTTCAGTTTTTTATGATGAATTTGTTTTTGTTGTCTACATGCTTTCATTTTTATTTAATCATTAGTGTGAGAGCTGGCAACTGCTCTCACACTAATGTTCTCTTTGCTCTTTTCACCATTTGTTGGTGTCTGTGCTGTACTGTTTGTCACAGAAACTTTGTTTCAGTGTCACATTGTTTTGTTCAGGAGATGTATGGTATGACTTTTCTTTATTGTAACATGCTGCAGTGATTTTTTATTTTTTTAAGTATAAGAATTTATAATGGAAAGTCTACAGGAGCAATGTTTTTAAGAGCTGAAATATCAACAACAAGTGCTAAAAAAGTGTTTTATGTTTTGGCAAATTATTCATGAAATGTGAGGTGCAGAAAAACAACACTATATAAAATATAAATTGAATTTTTCCACCATATTGGATTTTTTGGCAAACACATTTTGTGCTTCTTTTGGCTCATATTTCATCTAATCTTCACTATACTTGATGCATATTACATATAACCTGGTAAGACTATCCTGATGATGTGGCCTCAATTCTGTTTCACTCTCTGTATCAGTCTGGACTCACTGCCGCCCCAAAGCACTTTCCAGAAATTAAAATCAAATCAGGGCCAATCACGGATTGCACCGTAGTTGACAATATAAACAGTCAATCAGGGACTGCTTTGTAGTTGATGACTTCGAATACAGGTCGCAGCTTTCAGAGCAGTAATGGTGGCTCCCATAGCAGCAAGTGCCAATTCTAATGTTAGTAGAGTAAACACAGCAGTAAGTGAAATTATTAGTTATTAATAGAGTCAATAACATCAATAATAATAACAGAACAAGAGCATGAACTCATGGAAATTCTCTGAGGAAAAGACATTTTGTCCATTCTTCCAACTAGATCTGGCAAAAGCTTGATTTATCAACTGGCTCCATTGATCCGTTGAAGAAGATTTTCCACAGTGTTTTGTTTTGCTGATTGGCTGAAAGAGTTTGTCTGTCAAGGCGAGCACTCACGCCCTCTGAAAGGGTTTGGGGCAGTACTGAGTCCAGACTGATACAAACAGTGAAACAGAATGTTGAGCCCATGTCATCAGGATGGTCTTCCCAATTTGTGTCACATATAGATGAGCCCCATCAAAACTCATGAGTTTGTTTTTGAGTATCACTTACCGTTTGTCTGTAATTGGTTACCAAACTTTTGAAGGCGTGGCCTGATGCACTTAACAGGCAATAACACTTTAATGCTAATTTGAATTGCAACTGAAAGTAGAAATGTTGAACATACAGCAACATTGCACAAATGTGTAACATCACATACAATTCTACCCACTGGGTGCACTATGGTAACATCAAAACATGATATTTCGAAGTCTGTTGACTTAAATAAAATCAAACTTGTTCACTGTTAGCATGTGAATGGCATATTTATGCAGCCCCACCTAGTGGTCATTAATAAATTGCCACCTTTGTACTTATTACCTGCAGTATCTCGTTAATGTAAT